GCTCCACATGAAAGCCTTAATAATTCTATACTATTGTGAAAGCAGCCTTATGTCAACTGGAAATTCGGTGTGAACGGTAGCTTCACGTACAAAGTGTATTTGATTGTGTTGTGTATTCGTAAATTACCAACACCATCCAGAGTACAAATAGGTAAAGAAGGCAAAGCAGTCAGCGCCATCTGTCGTGTAAAAAATGCGATGGACGTGCGAAGACGACGACGACGACGACGACGACGACGAAACTGAAATAAAATCATCTCGCTCGCCATTTCAATACGCCCTGATCTCGGACACTAATTGTATTGAACTTGGTGGCAATCGCTTCAGAACCTTCAATTCCTATAGTGAATGTATCAATAACTTTTCCTCATATGTAGCGGTTCATAAGATATTTCGTTCCAAACATACGTATAAGGAGTTGACTCGAGTAAAGAGTCTCGGCGCGCTGTGCCCTGTATAGCCGGTTGCCCGTACTTGGCGCGAGACTCGACCGAGTCTCTTGATTTTTCTAACCTGGCTCGTGCGTTACTGCGAGCGAGTGAACGTGCGAGCGCGCATTGGTTATGCGTAATACTTTATGAATTTGCATTCCTTTCGTCTATGTATACGTTGCTATAAATATTTGTACATTAATTATCTATGCATCTTCCAATTAATTTATTGTATGACAATATTTTATAAATTATATTCATAATAAGTATGGTATTATCATTACATTGGTTAAATAAAAGTTCGAAAAAATGAAAGCATAATAATCATTGCGTTTTGATGGGCGTTTGATTCCACATTGTTCTGTTTTCAAAAAATTCACAGTTTTGTAATTTGGGCAGGAAGAATATGTTTTCACTTTTAAATTAAAATTTTTTTCTGGCTCAATACAATGCAGTCCATGCGTGCCAGGAATCGTTTTGCATTTTTGAAAACGACTTTTGAGATAATTGTCTGCTGCTTCATAATCTGCCGAGTCTCTGAATATGACAGAAATATTTTGCAAAGAAGAATCTCTGCTAGCCCACTCGTAAAGCTCTAATGGCGACGAACGTTGTTCATCTGAAATCATTTGTAATCTTACTCTGCGGGCCATTCTTTTTATAGCTCCTCCAGCTCCGTCCGTGGGGCACTTTGCATGTGCTGTAGCATGGAAATGCCGCTCTGCTGTACGAAGAAAATCATGTGCGTGGTAATAAACATTAGCAAAATGTTTAACAATTTTAAATTGCTGAGGACCTCCGTCAGAGAAGTAAAAAAATTTACGTACGAGTGAATAATTAGACAAGAGATATTCATGAAAAGCTTTGAGAAAAACGTAAAAGGCATCCGCGTCGTATTTTTTACAGTCTGAAATTATGATTAGTGTTTTGTGGTTGATAACCTCTCCATTTTTGTTTTAAAAAACAATGGGGAATAAAGTTGCTTGATCATTATTCCAATGGCAACCTGTGATTGAATTTTGAATTAAAAATGCGTAATTTTCAGCGAAATCGCAAGTTACTAAAATTTCGTCGTCATTAAGGTGTTTTTTCAAAAGTTTATAATGAGCAGCTGGTTTATTTGCGATAAAATAATGATTAAGAAATATTCTTCCTGCCTTACAAAAACATTCAACAATGTGTTTGATCGGTACCGTCTTTTTCTCTAGAGTTGTTTTGGGTTTAGTTACCATTGTTTATGCATGACGTTTTCAACATTATTTTTCTGGAAGATTTCTACAAGCTTCTTGGAAATTTTGTCATTTTTCGGGCATGCTTTGCATACGCCAAAGAAACAATCCTCATTTGCATTTTCACAAAGCAAGAGCAATAGAATATCAACGTAATGTTCCACTTTATATTGTTCGTTTTTCATATATTTCACCAAATGACTGCCTAACAACATAAAGAAGTAAAATTAATAAAATAATACTTTAGATGAAGTTTTTTCTAATTTGGTGTTTTCAAAATTTGATTTTAATTTTGACTTTTACATAATTGCTGAAAATTATTTTTTATTCACCTGATGCCATAAGGTTCATATTTTCATGCAAGGGACACACAAACAGTATGAGTACCACCTGAAATAGCCAGAATGCAATAAGTAGGTCGAAAGGAACAGAATTTTGAAAACCCAATTTTTACGTCGAGATTTTCTTTTTTAAAGTTCTTGTATACAAGTGAGGGATTTCCCATAATTAACCTTTTCTGCCGAACTTGACTCTCACCATTAATTTTCACCGACTTGGTGTCTTTTTGACCTGGCATCATTGTGCTCACGTCATCATTTTCATAGAAATGCTGTATTTTCTGCTTAATTTCTTTCGGGAACAGTTGATCTATACAAAAATTATAACAATAAATTACTCATTCAGTGCGTTATCGATAATGAGTTATCTTTTGTACAATAATATTTTTTTAGTTGCATCGCTTTTTTGGAACCGATAAAATCCTATCCTGCTCCCCCAGATTTTTTGCTTTTTTCACTGAATATCGAGATGTGCCCATTACTTGTGCACCTTTATTAATGTTCCAAGATTTTGGCAATAACGTCAAGATTCGAACTTTTTCCTGTGAAGTAATATCTGGTTTGTTGAATTTCTGTTTCAATTCAGCTATGAATTCTCGAGGAAATTCTTGTTCGTCCTAGAAAATAGATACCCGCCAATTTGAGATTTTAGACTTTTGCGACCAATATTATCATTAATACTTATGCTTTCCGGATGGAAGCCGCGTCTGTGTTCAGCGTCGTGCCGACGTTTCGCAAACGTTTCAGTCTCCATCATCAGGGCTAAGAGGCTCCGATACTCAAGCTCCATGTTGGCAGGAAGTCTTAATATACATATGATTGTTCATGCGGATCAGTGCTTCAGCTGATCATCAGTATCGGAGCCTCCTAGCCCTGATGATGGAGACTGAAACGTTTGCGAAACTTCGGCACAAAGCTGAACACAGACGCAACTTCCATCCGGAAACCATGAGTATTAAACCCACTAATCTTGACATTTTTAGTACGTATTCTTTTCCATTATTTCAATTTTATTTTTAATTCTTACTTCTGAGAAATCGTCGGATGATAAGTTTGTCCTCATATTCAGAAAAATCAGATTCTGATATGCTTTTGTAATTGTCATCTGAATTTGTAGCTGGATAAACGAAATTTCATCATGAAACATTATAATTTGAAAATTATTATTTACAAAAAAGCCTACTTGATATTTAAAATGTACTCATTGAAATCACTGAAATCTTTTTCATCCATTTTATTCACATCTAATGTGGATTTTGCACACATAACATCGTCCGGTTTTAACATTTTTCATTTAGCAAGAATTGAAGAGGACGATAGCGACGCAGACTTTTTTTGCTTCTTACCAGAATACTTTTCCTTTTTGAGTGGATTACAACATACATGCTTAAATCGTGAATTCAACATTGCTGTATAACTTTTGAGGAGCTCCGACTTTCGCGAAAACAAGTGAAACCTCTTCTAAACAAGTGAAACCTCGGAATGCGCTCGCTCGCACGCTCGCTCGCAGGGAAGCGCGCGCAAAATTAGAAAAATGTATGACGCCGAAAGTTTTCATTTCTACATTGCAAAATTTTTACAGGATATTCGCAAATCACGGGCAATCATATTATAATAAAAAAAAATAAAAAAAATTAGTTCTAAATTTGGAAAAATGTAGATTGTTTATAAAAAATCACTAATTTGTTATAAAAATAATACCAACAGAACGTCTACTTAGCTATATTGCAAATCTAAGGGGGGAACGCACATTCTCAGTATAGCAACAGTTTTTTATGATCGGAATTTTTTTTTACTGTGGGCTATTAAAAAATTGTCTTCTTTTCAGATTTGAAAAATTCAAACATTAATTTCTCTAAAATTTCAAGTATCATATTAAAATAAAAAAATACGTGTCGATTATTTTCAAACATAGAACGCAAAAAAAAAATGTTTCCCCAAAATCATTTTTCAGTGTAAATTTCGCATGGAATGACCCATATATAATATAATAATAAGAATGTACAAATGTAAATAATATGTAAGAAAATATAAACAATAAGACGTAATAAATATTTTAGTTCTGGTTTATTTCAAACACCTTAAAAATTCGATTTATCGATCCAACTATTGTGCGAATCATCGAAACCTAACCATTTCACAAATAACTTGTTTCCACGTTTCCTCAGTACCTTCTCCACAAGATATATGTCGGGATACTTGACGCTGGTAAGTTCATGTTCATAGAAGCCACCCAATGATCAGATGATCCTGGTAGTCCTTGAGTTTGTACGTCACCGGATCGAAATTCTTCTCTCGACTTATCGGGAAAATTTCAGTTGTCCAATTGGGTGTGTAGCCTTTCTCGAAAATGTGTTTAAATTTGCTGATTCGTACTCTGTCGCCGATTTTAAACTTTGTTCGTTTAAGTCTGGACTTGAGTTTCAATTTCTTGTACACTCGTTGTAGTAATTCTTTCTCGTTACGAGCAGTCACATCTGTAGGCTTAATACCAATGGTGCGATGCTTACTGTTATGGTAAAAGGATACCAAGTCCGATAAGATATCTACCAACCGATGATTGCCCTGTAGGCTAAACTGCATCTACATCTTACTTTTCAGAGTACGATTAAAGCGCTCGCAGATCGATGGCTTCAAGTTACTGAATGTCGAGTACTGGGTAATACCGTGTTTTTGCATAAGATCCTCGAATTCGAAATTGTAAAACTCTCGGCCTTGGTCAACATGCAATTTCTTCGAGATTCGACCCTGCGCCAGTATAAATCTCATAGCTGCTGTCACGTCTTTAGCGTTCTTGCTCTTGGTCGGCACGGCCCAAGCAAACTTTGAAAATATGTCGATGACGGTGAGCAGATACTTCTATCCGCGGTTCTCTCTGGCGTACGCTGACATGTCAACGAGATCCGCTTGCCAAGTCTCGTCCAATCCACGGACGTCAACGTACCGGCGCTGGTAATTTCTCCTGGCAGGTCTATGCAGTTCCTTCACCACCGCTAACTTTTTTCCATCCATTCTCCAGCGCACTCAGTCTCGTGTCCAGCTGAAAAATGATCAGAGAGTTGCGAATCGCCAATTCTTGTCCTGGCTCGATATCAGCTTGCAGACGTTTTAACGCATCCTTCGTGGTAGAATCGAGAGATTGAATCATCAAGTTGTTGTTATCGATATCAATGCGCATTCCGGCAGTCACGTGAAACACGGTATTCAGCTCCTGCTTCACTACAGTTTTCATCAGATTCAAGGTCACAGCATCGTTTTCCTCCTCGGGATTGGCGACGTTACAGAGCATCTTGTTATCAATGTCGTAGTGTCCAGCAGCAGTGAATTTGAATCCAGCGCCAGAGAGACCACGGCTACTCGTAACCGCGGTCCTGCTACTCAACTGACGTCCAAACACGTCGACACTCATATTCAAAGTGGCGATCGCGATTGTTTTATCGAATTAATAAATGATACCCGCCTCGCGCAATTCTTCGATAATCGACACAATTTCGTTGGAGTGACTGGGGTTACCAGCTTCCCGAGACGCAAGGAGCAGACGAAGCCGGTCTACCAGTTCGTTGGGATCGTCCCAGTACACGTAATCCGTTCGTTCGTCCTTGGCAGCGATCATGTACCGCGGTACTATACCTTTGCCCGTTACAGAGGGCTGTTCGATCAGTTTTGCAATAACGTTATTAAATTTAAAACTCTTGCTCTTACGAATTGCACTATCAGGTTTATAGTACTTTCTATATGTATTCGTCGTTAAAATAATGTCAACTGACGTCCAAACACGTCGACACTCATATTCAAGTTGGCGATCGCGATCGTTTTATCGAATTAATAAATGATACCCGCCTCGCGCAATTCTTCGATAATCGACACAATTTCGTTGGAGTGACTGGGGTTACCAGCTTCCCGAGACGCAAGGAGCAGACGAAGCCGGTCTACCAGTTCGTTGGGATCGTCCCAGTACACGTAATCCGTTCGTTCGTCCTTGGCAGCGATCATGTACCGCGGTACTATACCTTTGCCCGTTACAGAGGGCTGTTCGATCAGTTTTGCAATAACGTTATTAAATTTAAAACTCTTGCTCTTACGAATTGCACTATCAGGTTTATAGTACTTTCTATATGTATTCGTCGTTAAAATAATGTTTTTGTAATTGGCCAAGTAATCCTGGGTTACACTAGTCTCGTCAAGTACTTTCTTGAACAAGAGTTCGATCAAACCCGCAGTTTTCAAGTAAGTCGTATATGTATACAGGGTGTTTCGAAATTACCTGACCAACGGAGTATGGCGGTGTTCGGGAGACACCACTGATCACGAAAATGACCTCCCTTTTCTCCGGAAGGTTATAGTTTTTAAATGGGAGCAGGTCAAAGTTGACCAACCAGAGGGAGGCGTCAAGAGAAAAGTCCCGGGAAAAGTACCGAGAAATGTACCGGATAAAGTATCGGAAAAAGTCCTCCAGACTGTCCCGGGAAAAGTACCGGAAAAAGTCCCGTGGTAGTATACTCAGATTAATTTGGGGCTTCAATTTTTCATTCCTTGCTCTTAATTTCTGCGGTACTTTTTTCAGTACTTTTCTCGGTACTTTTCCCGGGACTTTTTCCGGGACTTTTACTGATATTTCTACTGGTATTTTTTCCAGGACTTTTCCCACGATTTATTCTGGTACGCTTTTATCGTCTACACCAAGTTACATAAGACTTGTAGATGACAGATTTTGGATTTACCTACTGCGACAGATCTTTATTATTTTCTACATTATCATAGGATATTGCAGCTTTCAGTTAGTGCATGACAGTCCTCAGTGAGTGATACCTAATAGGCATGGCTTCACCTGGCTTCAGTCTACCCATAGCCATCGAGAAACAAAAGCGAGGGAAGAAAACTCAGAGGTCGTAGGTACCTACGTTTCTCTTGACGCCTCCCTCTGGTTGGTTCACTTTGACCTGCTCCCATTTAAAAACTATGACCTTCCGGGGAAAAGGGAGGTCATTTTCGTAATCAGTGGTGTCTCTCGAACACCGCCATACCCCGTTGGTCAGGTAATTTCGGAACACCCTGTATAAGTTTGTATAAATTGTGCTTGAATTAATAGAAATTTAAGTTTTAAATTTAATTTACATTATATAGAAAATTTAACAAAAACAATACAACAACAAATCAGTGAAATAAATTTGATACTTAGTCCTTTGCCCATTCAAACAATTTCTTCTTTAACGCAAGAAATTTTATGTAATAAAATGAAATATTGTGTAAAAAAATAAAATAATGAATGTTATAAAATAATTGCAGAGCCTTTTATTGCACACGATTGCACACGATGCAAGTTGTCTGTCATCGTCACGACGAACGTTAGGCGCCAAATCTAGCTCGGAAACAACTGATGTAACAGTTAAAACATAAGAATATCGCGGCAGCGAGTGATCAGCCAATCAGAGTAGAATGGTCCAGTGACTGCTTCCCGAACCTCATCTCGATCTTGACTAACGTGGAAACTATAAATGACGAGTTAATAAAGATCGCTGTTCAGTGGCAACTGCTTCACCGTAGGGACATGATCGTGCATCCTAAGCGTAAAAGCATTGGGAGGAAAAAATCTCATCGTGGTAGAGGATTAGTTAACAGGATCATCAACAATCTACCTGTTGAGTTACATATACCTGGTTATCAATACTGTAGGCCCAGTACGAAACTAGCGAAGAGACTCGCGCGAGGCGATCTGGACATCAACCACTTCGATGCAGCTTGCAAAGAGCACGACATCGCCTACTCGAAGAATCGAGCGAGCCTCAGATTCAGAGGGGCGGCGGTCAGGGTACTGGCCGACAAAGCTTGGAAGCGAAAACTCGAAACTCGGTGTGGGACTCAAGAAGAAGAAGAAGAAGCCAAAGACTGTAACGCTGAGGAATGTCATCGAGGAAGCCAAACGATCTATGATTCCAAGCAATGATTCGCAGGTAGCTATCAGATTTGCTCTCAAGGGTGTACAAGTTGCCGTTAAACGAGCAAGTGGAAGCCGCAACGTCCGCACACCGCGGGTTCTACCCGTGCCGTCCAAAGTCCGAGGCTTCCTGCCGCTGTTCGTCCCTGTGTTTGCGGGTCTTAGTGCAGCTGGAGCGTTGGCCGACGGTGCTGCAGGAATAGCCACACTGGGTCGCGTACAAGAAGTTGAACGATCTATTCATTTATTTCGACAGTTTCGGCAATCTTCGACCACCGCTACATCTTATCGGATGTCTTGGTGTTGGTAGTGTAAAGTACAATTATGAGCGATGTTAGGAGTCCGATACTTTTGCAGGTGGACACTTGTGTCTAAAGTTCCGATGTGGACAATTAATTCGTGAAAACAAGTATCGTCTATATAAATTTGCTATGTAATTTCATAAGGTCAGTTGAGCGTTTGTAATCATAGAGGATTCATTCATATTGACTTTAT